CAGCTTTCCTCAGGCAGGGCCTGGCCGCGTCTCTCTCCCGCGTCGAGCACGGGAAGACGTTTGTCAAAACTTTTTCTGGAGCAGTGTGAACGCAGAACAAACTCCCGCGTCGGGGAAAGGCGTGAGCGCGCTCCGCCGGCCCGCTGCCTTCGGAGAAATGGGCTGTCGGGAGCTGCTTTCCCCGGCTTCGCCCCTGCTCCTCCTTCTCCATCCTCCCCGCTGTGCTGCGGGATGAGCCGCGCTCGGCGGAGGCAGACTGCCCGCCTTCCTCCCCGTCCTTCCGAGGGCTCGAGCGGGCGGACGGGGGACACCGGGGCTGCAGGAGGTGCAGTCCCTTCTGCTTCGGTGGCCGTTGCTGAAGAGGCTGCCCTGTCCAGGCGGGCGGCAGAGAGCCCTCTCTGCCTTTGTCCGGCATCGCGCTGCTGCTTCGCTCCTGCCCCCGGGACCGCCCTCCTACCTGGCTGCCAGGTAAACCAGCGCTCCCAGTTGATCTGTTGTTTCTCTGCAGAGAAAAAAGGAGGAAAAGTTTGGTTTGCAAGGTTAAAAGTAAACCAGAAACCCGGGGTTTAAAGCTGCTTTGATTCTCCGTGGGGAGGGAGAGGAAGAGGAGAGGAAGAGTCTCAACACCCAACGACAGCTGATGTCCCCACGGCACGGCAGCTCGGGGAGCAGCTGTGGAAAAGCCCCACATGTGGCTCCCTTCTGCTCTCTGCCTTCTCCCTTCCCTTTCTGCAGGAAACCTTGCACAGAAGGGCTGGCATCCCCCTTTTTGGGAGGGGGCTGGCTGTTATCCTTGTCGAGGTGCTCAGCATTGTGGTCCCTCGGGAAAAGAACAAACGCTGTCTCCCTGTTGTAGAAGTTTGGGGAAACTGAGGCCGGAGGGCAAGAAGTGCCCGCTGTCAGGCAGCTTTTTGGACCAGTTGCCCCCCATCTGACCATGAAAGGTCTCCCCATCATGAGGTGCTGGATCCCACCGCGCTGGACAGGCTGTGGCCAGCTCACCCGGGGCTGGTGTGTTACTGAGACCTCTCATTTGGGAGATGGTTTGCCTGCCTGACTCCTTCCACGGCGGGACAAAGTTACAGAGCACCAGACTCAAACCAGTCCTCCCACGTAGTCTGACGGATAAATTGTCCTCGAAGAGATCAGCCGTTTAAACAAAGCGTTTGGTCTTGCTGCTGGGTCTGTTCCGTAGAGCCAGATTGTTACCTGCAAAGCTGCAGGGAGCATCTAACTGTCTTTTAAAAGACAATAATAACCCCATGTACTAAATCTCTCTCTGCTGCCTATTTGTGACGTGCCAGCCGAGCAGCGGGGGAAGGCGACAAATGTTAACAGCAGGGCAGGGCTTTGGGCAAAGTTCAGACGTGGGTCCAAGCCCCGGAGTTTCTTCCTTCTAGGGCTGGTTTGGGGCAGGAGTGGCCAAACCCTCTGCGAAGAGCGTTGGGGTTGGTGCCTGCAGCCCGTGTTTGCCCCGCACCTCACGCGAGGGGCCCCGGCGTGTCTGCGGCGCCAATAGCGCACCGCTAATAACGCCGTGTTATCGGGAGGCAGGGAGGGCGCTGAAACCAAACCCGCCTGTGTACCTGCGGCTCGGTTCCACCTCTGCTTGCCTACAAATTACTGCAGTAGCTTTTCCTGAACGCTGCGTCTGCCCGGGCTGGGCTCGGCGGAGCCGCAGGGATCCCGCAGGGATGAGGGATCGCCTCTCGCTGCGTGGAGGAGGTGAGTCCTGCCTTCTGCCTTCCTTTCAGCCCGGCTCCCGTCAGCCTCCCCCAACCTTCCTCCTCCATCCCTCTGCCCCTGTCCTTACAGACCGTCAGAGGGGTTTCCTAACCTGCGCTGGTGTTTCTTTCCAGCTAAACCAGTCCGCCTCTCTCTATTCTGTGAACAAAATAAAAACAAAAAAGTAATTGATGAGTATTGGGGCAAAACACAATTTAAACAGAAAAGGGTTCAGAATCTGTCACCACTGTATCTACAACTTGTTTGCTGTTGACAACTTCTCATCTCTGGCTGTGCATGGGTACGCTGGGGTTTATTTTTTCGTTGAAGCTCTCTGAGGGTGTGGAGGGGAGAAGACACAGGTCTTTTCTTACGTACTGATAAGAAATTCAGCCTCTCTGCCTCAAAACTGAAATTCCCAGGTAGTCAGAGAGATGGACAGATTCCTCCTTCCTCCCCAGTGCTGGAGATGTCACTGTGATAAAAGGGAAGGAAACCATTTTTTTTTTTCCCCTCTGTGTATGAGACACCTTTTACTTAATATTTGGGGTTTACCTTGGGGTCAGTCCCCCTCTGTAAACCCTGCAGACCCTGCGCTGCAGCAGGCAGCAGACATCACATCTCCCTCGCGGCTCCGGCTCAGAGCCGCGGCGGCTCGGTGAATTTTGGTGGGCGAATTTGCTTCCTGGAGCTGCCAGCACCCAGGCGTGAGCTGCTGGAGCTGTAGGGCCGCGGCTTAAATTCCTATCCCAAGGCTGTCAGCCAGCTGGGCACCCCTCACAGACGAACACGGCTGAGACATCCTGTGTCTAGCCCACATCTGAGAAAGGTGGTTGCTGCCCCCAGTTGCTTCCGTGCAGATAGAGTGCATCTGAAGTAATGCTGAGCGTATCGGGGGCCTCTGAGTATTCCTTTGAAGCCACGTCTAGTGATTAAAAGAAAACTGTTACTGTTCCCCCTCCGCCGTTAGCCGTGCTGTTTGACCTTGGGCAAGTCGTTTAAATGTTCACAGTTGTTAAAAGGAGATGTCTTTTGTGGCAGCCGGGGTCTAAGTGAGCGTGGAGGGGGAAGGTGAGGGATCCTGGAAGGGAAATGGTCTGTATTTATTGTATGTAACCGGCAGCTCCTCAGCGCAGGAGTGGTGCCTCTCCTCCGCCGCAGCGAGAGGCGGAGAGCGATGCTTGTATTTTGTAAAAACCTCGTCGCCACCCTTCCAGCTTCGCCCAGTCACCTCCGTGTGGGTTACGTGGCTGACGGCAAGAAAGAGAAAAGGGAGAATGCAGAAACTGCCCCAGTCCAACACTTGTGCAGTGACGGAGGTCCAATGCATGTGCCCGGTGAAGTTTGGGAACACTAATTTGCACCATGTTAGGTGCTAATTTGGAGGTTTGTCTCTGCCCGCTGTAGCTGTGGCAAGGCTAAGGTCCAGCACCGCTGGTTCCGCAGCTCCTCCTGCGTACACGCTTTGCATCCCGCAGCCGTTCCAGCTCTGCGAGGTCCGACCCCCTCCACCACGCGTGGTCTCCAGCACTGGTTCCCTCAGCGTGCTGAGGAGGGAGGCGAGCGTTGGCCTGGACATGTTCCCTGTGGGAGTCTTTTCCTCTCCCCTGTAATCGAGGCAAAGAATTGAGAGGGGGACCAGGCTGCAAAACTGAATTTTTACCTCGTTTCTTCTGATGGGTTCGCTTTCTGCAGCTAAGTGAGGAAACTGTGCACCAGCCAGCTGCTCCGGCAGGGAGAGGGTGAACGGGCAGGTAGGTACGCAGTTACGGCTTCCCCAGGGAGGGAGCCATCGGAGATAAACTCCTCCGCCTGCGTGTCTCTCATTCTGTTCAGCCTCCTTCATCCAAAGGACCCAAAGCGCGTGGGGGGCTGCGCTGCGGCGGGACGGGGGGCAGAAGGTTCTGTGCAGACCGGGAGCGCCGTGCACAGTCCAGAAATGGGTCGTGAGTTGAAGCACGTTCAGTGGGACCTGTTATGCCATGTCCCCAAAGAGACACCCGATAGTGGCACATTTAGTGAGAAGTCGGAGGATGCGAATCCCGAGAACTGGGCAGCAGTGTGTTTGACTCCCTGAGTCAGTGTCTGTGCAGGAGCTTAATGTCGTGCTGAGCCATCCTGCCTTTCCCAGCGTAACTACGGACCGCCTTCCCGAGGTGCTTTTAGCAAAATAGCAGTTTGGTGGACCAGATGGTGGTAACCTTGCAGGATTTCTTTCGATTGAAGACTGCCGCAGTGGCAAGCTCATAACAGGTTGCTGAGAGGCATCTGGTTGCTCTCACCTTCATCGCTTACCCCCTGTCCTGATCTGGTAGCCTCTCCCCTCTGCAGAAGGCTGGAGAGAGGGAGCACGTTACAGGGCAAATAAATGACTCAGACTAATGAGTAAGGTAATTGCCATTCACTGTTAGATGAGGCTAAAGTGGGTCAGGTTTGTTTGTGAAACTCCGCAGAGGCACCATCTGTTCTCTGTGCCCCGTCTCGGGGGCTGGAGGCAGGATTTGGGTGAAACTGCTTCCCTGGGAGCCTGCGGGGCGGCGCGGGGGATGCCCCGGTCATTAGGCAGTGGCGCGGGTCTCTAGAGATGACCCTGTGTGACTGCAGGCGAGTGCCTGCAGCCCTGCTCCTCACGGGGCACTCTTAATTGATTGCACTGGGAGAGGGGACCCTAAATCCTTTGTCTTTCTGCTGCAACTGGACAGGATGAGGCTGGACAGGACATGGAGAGGTCGTTAGACCTCCTTTAGCCCGAAGGCGGGATTGGATTTTCCCAAACCGCGTCTGACGGGTGCCCGTCTCACCTGTCACAAGCCCTTGGAGAGAAACCTGGCACCAATGCGGTTCATGTCTTTTAACCCTGCCGCTCTCCCAGACGTCCTCTCTTCATCCTCCCGTCCCTGCCAACCTCTCGGGATGGGGACTGCCTCTCTCGGCGATGGCGTGTCTGTGCGGTACCTGGTTTTAGCCCTCTCCCCTGCCCTGGACCCCGCTGCGTCTAACACGCTCTCTCCTCTCTCAGACCACAGCATGTGAGCAGCGGGGGAAGCCTGGAGCGGGATCCCTGCCGACCCACGCCCAGACGCGACATTGCCGGGGCCACATCTTGCAATAAGAGGAAGAGGAAAAGACCCTTCATTCGCCATTGCGAAAAATGGGAGGCAGCATCTGCCCAGCAGACAGGGAAGGGAAGCTCCAGCCCTTGCCTGGGGGGCATCCCTGGGAGTGCCGCAGCCGCAGCGCCGCAGCGCTCTGTCAGTAAGGGCGGCGGGGACGGCATGGCTCAGCGAGCCTGGGGCAGCATGCTCTTCCACAACCGCAAGACCCAGCTCCTGCTGGTCAACTCCCTGACGTTCGGTCTGGAGGTCTGCCTGGCTGCAGGGATAACCTACGTGCCTCCGCTGCTGCTGGAAGTGGGGGTGGAGGAGAAGTTCATGACCATGGTTTTAGGTAGGCAGGTCTTTTTTTTTTCTCGTCTTTGAGGTGCTTCTTTCCCCTTCCCATCTGGAGGGCAGGGGCAGATAAGGGCACGGAGGCTTTTCTCTGCAGGGTGGTTGCAGGGCTGCTGTTACATCAAGGGCAGCCTTAGGTCGCTGGTTCATTTCTGGCTCGAAGGACCAGTCTGTCCCTGAGTCCAGCCTGGGACTGCCCCAGTGCCAGCCGGTGTCGTGATTGTCATCCTGGGAGCTTGATACGGTTCTGTATATATTTCATTATTTCCTTTTATTTTATTATTAATATTTCATTAAAGTAGTTTAGTTCCTTCTAAACTCGTAAGTCTCTTTTTCCCTCCTCTGCCTCTCTCTTGGAAGAGGCGTAGAGGGGAGCATCTGTTGGTCCCCTCTGGGGTGCCCCCCGTCCCCAGTAGCTGATTTGGCCTAAAACCACGACACCTGGTGTTTGGAGGAGGGGGCTGGGACCCGGCGAAGCTTACTGAGTTCTTGAAACGCCCCAGGGTTTTTTCACAGCGCATACAGACCAGCGTCCTCCAGATCTGTCGCCCTGACACCACCTCTTTCTCTTTCCCAGGGATAGGACCCGTCCTTGGCTTGGTTTTTGTCCCGCTGATCGGATCCGCCAGCGACCACTGGCACAGCAGTTACGGCCGAAGGCGACCTTTCATCTGGATGCTGTGCCTGGGGGTCCTGCTGAGCCTCTTCGTTATCCCCCACGCCAGCAGCCTGGCCAGCCTGTTCGCCCTCAACGCTCGCCCGCTGGAGATTGCCTTCCTCATCCTGGGCATCGGGCTATTGGATTTCTGCGGCCAGGTCTGCTTCACTCCGCTGGAAGCCCTGCTCTCGGACCTCTTCCAGGAGCCAGACAACTGCCGCCAGGCCTTCTCCATGTACGCCTTCATGATCAGCCTGGGGGGCTGCATCGGCTACCTGCTTCCCGCCATCGACTGGGGCGGCAGCTTTCTGGCCCCGTACCTGGGAGGGCAGGAGACCTGCCTCTTCAGCCTCCTTGCCGTCATCTTCCTCGGCTGTGTGCTGGCCACGCTCTTCGTGACAGAGGAGGCAGCCACCCAGGCAGATGCTCTGGATGGTCCGGCGCTGAAGGACGTTCCTCCTAAGCCCTCGCCTCCTGCCTGCTGCTCTTGTCAGCTCTCCAGGAGCTCCTGTCTCCTGCAGGCCAGGCACCTCACGCAGGCGCTGAGAAACCTCTGCACGCTGGTGCCGCGGCTTCACAGCCTCTACTGCCGCATCCCCAAAGTCATCCGGCGCCTGTTCGTGGCCGAGCTCTGCAGCTGGATGGCACTCATGACTTTCATGCTCTTCTACACGGACTTTGTTGGGGAAGGGCTGTACCACGGCGTCCCCAGAGCCAAGCCAGGCACGGACGCCAGGCGCCACTACGATGAAGGTGAGGAGGGAACCAGCTGCTCTGAGGCTGCAGCACATGTTCCGTAGGGTAGGAGCTTTTAGCGGGAGCTGGGAATGGGCTCAGCTCTGCTGGTGATGCAAAAAAACAGTACAGGAAACTAAACTTGCTGCAGGTGAGTCAGGACAGAACATTCCTCCGTGGCCCCCCAAGCACTGCACAGTGGACCAAACAGGGAAATGCCTCTTTGTCCTCCGAGCTACCCCGCACGGAACTGGATCTGGCAGCACAGCCCTGGCCCGGGGCTGAATTGTTCAGTGGCAGAACGGTCTGGCAGGTTGCACGCCGAGCAGGACGTATCCGGCTCTGTCTGCGGGCTGTGGTTGCCGCTGCCAGGTCCTTCCACTGCTCTTCCCTCCTTTTTAAAATGAGGGGTGATGGTGCTCCCCATCTCTCGGAGGGCAGGGGTTGGAAAGCCAGGAGGTGCTCTGTAGCAGCGAGGTGGGCTTTGCTGCATCTTCCTTGTGTGCTACTGTGAGATTCCCGTCTCGTATCTGTACCCGGGGAGCCCTCGAGCAGTTTCCCCCATTTTCACCCCCTCTCTCCAGCACTTTCTGATAGCGCTCACCACTGCAGTCAGTAGCTGCTGCGTCCACATCACGGGATACCGCTCACTGCAGCTCGTTACCTGCGTACTGTTGTTGCCTGCTGTCCCGCTTTGCCTGCTGTGTTGTGCCAGAGCCGTGACTCGCTGCCCAGCCCTTCTTTCCCTCTCCCTGATCTCAGTATTTTATTCTTGGAGGCACCTTCCTGGCCCTTCTCCTCCAGCTGTATATCTTTCCCTCCGAGTTTTCCATTCACTGCCTCCGTGAGCTCTGCAGTACACTGCCTCTTTGTGCTGAGCGTCTGTTTGACTTAGAGGGAGCTTAATTATTGTTTAACACTTGCACTGTATAGCTTCCAGCGGGTCAGGGCTCCATTGTGCTCGCTGTCATAGAAACATGTGTTGAGTAATGATCCTCGCTTCAAAGAGTTAATGGGTTTAATTCCCTGAAATCTGATAGATCTTTGCAAAGGGTAAGGTCCGGATTGCTACCGGATACTGCAGTCGTTTAGTGGATGTTGTGTACTTTACCTTGGCTTAAGCACAATTCCTTGTTCCTTTTGTTCTGCTGCTGGTTTTGGCATCAGATAACAACAGATCCTGGTTCATGAGCAGGTGACAGATCCTGGGTGGAGAGAAGGAAGGTGCGAACAACCTCTACCAAAAAATGAGAGTAGCATTTGAATTCCTCTCTCCCGTTGCCCCTTTAGTTAGACTGGGGTGCCCAGGAGCACATGTAGGAACTGCTCGCTGCTGGTGGATGGTGGGAGCTGCGGTCTGGCTGGGGCCACCCTGGGATGTGTTAGGTGGTGCTGCTCTGCCTCCTGACCCAGCCGTGTGGTTGCCGGGGCTGTTTGTGGCTGTGCCACGCTCTGTGTGGACCAAAGGAGCGGGAAGGAGACCCGACGGTGTTTGGCTGGGTGAAGGCTGGGTGCAGTCAGGGCAGTGTCTCTCACCACCTCTGCTTACCCGCAGGTGTCCGGATGGGTAGTTTGGGCCTCTTCCTGCAATGCGTCACATCCATCTTCTTTTCGACAATCATGGACCGGATGGTGAAGCAGTTTGGGACGCGGGCGGTCTACCTGGCCAGCGTGGTGTTCTTCCCCGTGGCTGCCTTCGTCATGTGCCTTTCTCACAGTGTCATCGTTGTTACCATCTCAGCCGCTCTGACGGGCTTCACCTTCTCTGCACTCCAGATCCTGCCGTACACACTGGCATCGCTGTATCATCATGAAAAACAGGTAGGGATCTGCTCCAGAGGGCGATGTGCCAGGTAGCTGACAGGACAGCTTGCCCAGCCTCTTCTGCCACGTGTAGCTGGTACGGTCAGTTCAGCTCATGGAAGAGAAACACGAGCAAAGGTTTTCCACATGTGCCTCTTGTCTCCAGGCTGTGTCTTCTCTGAAGGTGAAATGGAGGAGATGAGAGAGTTTAGCATCTCCATCCTTAGGCATCCCCTGCTCGCAGCAAGCATTATGCAGTTTTAAAAAGTGTCGAGTGGGTAAGATGAGAGAAATCAGCTAGGACTGGTGTATCGGAAGGGATGTCCTATGTTCCTCTGCGTTCTGCATGTTTTCAGGGAAACTGGTGCAGGTTAGTTATACCTGTGGGCATTCTGCAACCAAGTCACATCTGCAGCACTGCCGACCTGAGGTGCTAAAAGACTCAAGAATTTTCAGCCCTTAGAGGTCCCGCTTTCCAGTTTTTGTCCATAGCATGAAGATCAGTAAAATGAAAACTGAGGTTCTTCCTATTCCCCTAGCTCCAAGAAGAATAAACGTTGTGAAACTTTTGACACCAACACAAAAGCTAGTAATCCTGTCCCACAGATGTTATCCTTGTGGAGAAGTCCTAGGAGGTTCCTGCGTTGCACACTGGATTAATAGGAGTTTCTCTTGTGCTGCAAATGCAAAATTAATTTGTGGTTTGAGAGCAGCTCTTTCATCCCAATGGCAGGCGGTTCACTGCGCAGCGAAATAAGTAGGAGTTTTTACCACAGGCATCCAGATGTTCACATTGAACAAATACTTCTGACCAACCCATCCCAATTTGCACCAGGCACCCTGTCAAAATAGGGGTACGAGGGAGTGTTCTGCATTGCAAAAGCTTCGCTCTGGCTGGGATCTCCCATGGACAGAATATCAACAGAATGAAAACCAAACTCCACGGGCTGGGAATGTGAAGGCCACATGCCCAAATGTTTGCCAAAGGCTTGACGGGGAAACGCTCTCAGTACAATGAGGTGTGGGGTATAGCTGGGTTTGGTCTCGCTGTTGCCCTGACTTGAAAGTTCCTCCTTCCTTTACCAACTACTTCGCAGCAGGCTGCGGGGAGACCCCACAAGAAGCAGTCCCTAAAATGCCTTTTGCAGAAAATTCTCCATCTTCCCCATTTCTGTTCTCTCCTTTTTTCTTACTGTTGAAATCTGTCGTCATTTTTGTTTGCCTTCCCTTGTTCCTGCTTCCTCTCCTCCCTCTCTTTTTTACTTTTTTTTTCTTTTTTCTTTTAAACTTTAAACACTCTTCCCAAAGTGAATCAGCGGAAGGGGCATCCAGAGTGGCTGTTGCGTCTACCCCGGGCGGGATCGTTGGCGAAAGCCTGCGGGGCCACCTCAGCTGGAGCTCCTTGCTTTGCGCCGGCTGTGTAAGTCGCTCCCTTCTCCTGCATGCCCTCCCGTCTTCGCATGGCCACTAAACCTTGTCTAGAGCAGGAGGAAAAGATCTGCATGTTCTAACAGTGCCTGAATGCTCGGTAGAGGTGAGATGCACGGTGGGCTCTCACATCTTCTGCGGGAGATGATGGAGAGCTGGGTTCTTCATTCCCACCACTCCCCATCAACTATAGGGGGAGATGAGGCTGCTTATTGAGGCACTGGTGGCTCCTGTGGTTGTTTCTGTGTTACAGGGTTGATTTTAAAGCGTAGGTTCTCACTAAGCTCATTCCTGCAAGTATGTTTAAGTCATTTTTTCTAGGTTTAAATTAATTCTCTACGCTAGGTATTCAAACACCCCCGGCAGAACTCGTATCTCTGAATAGCCTGGACCGGTTCAGAAACGAAGAAATGTGGTGTGGACCTTCAGGGCAGCTGAGCAGGCTTCTGGGCACGTCAGCGTCAAATATGAAGGGTTGGAACTGTGGGGGACATCCTAGTTTGGCCAACACAGTGCCCTTTCTGTGCTGGGTATTGAGTTGCTTTGAAGTCTGATGGCAATAGGAGGCACGTGGGAGGATTTTTAAGCTCCGTATAGGATAAGTGACAGTCTTGAAAGGCTGAGGGACTTGCAGCTTTTTAGTCTGGAGAAGACTGAGGGGGGGATCTTGTTGATGCTTATAAATCCTTCAAGGGAGGTGCCAGGGGGATGGGAACAGTCTGTGTCCAGCGGCGCCCAGTGACAGGACAAGAGGGACCGGGCACAAAGGTGACCAGAGGCAGTTCCATCTCCACCTGAGGAGGGCCTTCTCTGCTGTGAGGGCGGCAGAGCAGTGGCACAGGCTGCCCAGAGAGGTGGGGGAGTCTCCCCCTCTGGAGCCATCCCAAACCCGCCTGGACGCCGTCCTGTGCCACTGCTGGAGGTGCCCCTGCTCTGGTGGGGGTGGACTGGGGGAGCTCCAGAGGGCCCTTCCAGCCCCCACCAGTCTGGGATGCTGTGATGGTCCTGGGTTGATGCATTTAAGCATAAATTCATGAGTGTGGGCAGAATTGAGGAGTTGAAGGGTATGGTGAGCAGCTGAGCAGAGCCCAGGTAAAGCTTTTGGAAGATGACTGCTGTTTAGTGCAGTTCTTCTCACCTGGTTTCTCTTCTCCGATTGAATCTGAAACTGCTGGTGCTACTGATCTGCAGCCATGGCCCGGGGCGGCGTGAAGGGAGTCTGGCTGGTGCTGACACACACCGGGGCAGGGCTGGGTGCAGCCGGGTGGGTGCTGAGGCTGCTGAAAGCTTTGGGATGGACTGCAACAGAGCTGGAGTGTCCACGCTCCCGCAGCCGCGCTTCCCTCCTCTCACTCTCCGTCCCGGTCCCTCCTGCAGAAGGTGGGACAGTTCAGGCGATCCCCTCCGAGCCCGGCGGCTGGGTACGGTGCTCTCTGCTCTCAAACAAGGGCTGTTTTTCCCTTTTTATTGTCTTTGTTTGTTCAGTCTCACCATGCGGGTAACGGATTAACGCGTCCTGCGTTATCTGCTCTACCCCGTGCAGAGCGGTGGTTGTGCATAACTGCAAATGCTCTGGAGTTTTAAAGTTGGAGCTCCGCAGCGTTTTCACTGTCTGCACGTGACCGCCCGTCATTTGTCGGCGTGAACGTGGAGAGCTTTTTCATCCAGATACTCTGCGTGAATGCTGCTGGAGTGAGCCGTGCCCCAGCGATCTCACAGCTCGAGCGGAGCGGGGCAAAAAATGGGCGAGAAGAAAAAGATTTTTCTTCCCCACCTTTTGTAGCCCAACTGCGGAGGCTCCGGTCAGGCAGATGGAGCAACTCGGTGGAGGTCAGGCGTGCACGGTCTGTTGCGGAGCTGAGAAGAGAGCTCTTTCCTGCGTTCCCAGCACTGTGCCGTCTCACTTTTTAAGTATCAGACATGAAGAAGTGGCCGTGCATCCTCTCAAAACTCTTCGCCTGCCCTTTGGGCTCTTCTGCAGGAAGGTTTTGATTTCCCAGTCAGCCGCTTTATAACCGCTTCTGTTCGGCTGGAGCGCGCTGGCTCTGTGTGTGTCCAAAGCGGGCTCTGGCCCTTCACTCCTGTCCCGCAAGCGTGCCTCGGCTCATGTCAGGATGGGCTGAGCTGCAGTTGGTGCCCGGGTTCCCTGGGCACCCACTGAGGAGGTGCCAACCCAGGGCTCAACGCAACGTGTCCCCAAATGCAAAGCCTGGGCTGGCTATGGGCTGCGGCGCTCTGCTGAGCTCCAGAGCTCCAACACAACAGAGGAACCCTTTGGCCAGATTTCCCCGGTGAGTCAGGGCTGCTTTGAATCCCGTGCCAGTTGGGAAGAGCCAGGCTGGCTCCTGGAGGCCATCGCTCACTGCCGGCGCTCCCCACCTCCAGCAGCCTGACCCAACGCACACAAAAAAACCCACACAGAGTGGTTTTGCTCTCTTGCACAAAAAATGGGGCCTCCCTCTGCCCCCCACCTCTCCTGCTCCACCCTCCCTACTCATTCCTCACGTGCCCTCTTTTTTTTCCCCTAGGTATTTTTGCATAAATATAAGAGCAAAGAGGAAGACGCAGCTCAATTGAACAAGAAGTCAGCCTTCTCCAAAGGCCTCCTGTCCAGCCAGAAGCTGCCTTACCAGAACGGACATACTGGGAGCCTCTTCTCTTCCTCCTCCTCCTCCTCCTCCTCTCCTCCAGCCGCCGGCTCGGCTCTGTGCGTCAGCTCCTCCTGCGACGTCTCGCTCATGATGATGGTGGGAGAACCGGACTCAGTGCCTCCTGGCCGAGGGATCTGCTTGGACCTGGCTATTTTGGACAGTGCTTTTCTCCTCTCTCAGGTTGTCCCCTCCCTCTTCATGGGGTCCATCGTGCAGTTTACGCAGTCGGTGACTGCCTACATGGTGTCGGCTGCCGGCTTTGGCCTGGTAGCCATTTACTTTGCAACCAAAGTTGTCTTTGATAAGAGTGACATGGCGAAGTATTCGGTGTGACATGGAAGGCACGAGGGCAGCACGCGGGTGCCCGCACGTGGCAAAATGAGACACGTGTGTGTGCGTGTGTGTGTGCGTTCACACGGCCACTTGCGGGAGGGCTCGTGTGGCATCTGCTGTCCCCATGCTGTTGCTGTAGCCCCGGGGGCTGGTTCTGGGGCTGGGGGGCAGGAGAAGTGCAGCAGGGCTAATCTCAGGTGTAAATATGAGGCATCGGGGCATCGTGCTTCGGGCCATCAGTGCTTTCCAAAGGTGCCTTGATCAAACGAAAGCACTGCACAGCCAGCACCAAAGGGGGTTGTACAGGGGAGAGAAAGGAAATGGACTTTTCCTTTAATAACGGGTCATGTTTCTGTGTAATTCTACCTAAACTGAGCAGGAGAGGCAGTGGTATGGGGAGGGGAGGAAGAAATCATTGGTTCTCCTGTTTTCCAGCTATAGCTGTATCCTCTTCCCGTGCTTGTTGTAGTTTTACTCAACTTCTTGAGCAATACTTCTGCAAATAGGACACTAGGAGGAGATTTCCATGGGGAAAAAAAAAAAAAAAATAGATGGGTGGCTAAGGTTTGTCCTTAGGTGCAAAGGGGGTGCAGATGTGCTCACGCACACTTCCGTCCTTCCCCACCTCTGTTCTGACTGGGAGAAACCGTTTAGGAGAAAAGTTACTATGTCTTGTTTTGGAAAAACAAGTAACGTTTCATTAGGACCAATTCCAAAAGGTGACTTATCTTTTACCTATGTACCAAGTTGCATCAGATGGAAAGGACTTCTTAATTTATTTTTTTTTTAACTGATTGTTTTCAGCTTTCCTTACACAGTTCTCAGTAACTCTGACCTCTCACTCCTCAGCACTCAGAACTGCTGCCTGCCCTCTCCTCTAACAGATCTAGACTGTTGTGCCTCTTCCACACTTGGCCCCTGAACGATGCTGCCATATCGCAAGGAAAATCTGTTCTCGGAGGGTTTTCAGTCCTGTGACGATGAAATAGAACAGGGAGAGCTCTCCTGGAAGGCTACCTGAGAACAAGCGTACCGTCCCCGAGGAAGCTGGAGGAATTGGTTGCCCGCTCCTGCCTGGTTGAACTCAGCAGCAGCCACTGCTGTAGTCGGTCCCTGGAGTTGGTCACTGGCTGTGTCTGTTTGTCCTCAGCCCAGACTCTTCTTTCCAGGCAGAAGGGCGTAGGGCTGCGCTTGCAGGCTGGCAGGAGCGCACCTTGCAGGGCACGCTGCATCCCAGCGCCCGGCACGGTGCCCGCGTTAACACATCGCCAGCGCGGCCGGAGAGCGCTGGAAACAGCGCCGTCAGCGGGAGGTGGGTAGGATGAAACGTGCCTACAGCCCCTCCGGCAGCTCCTTACAGACCCTGCTTCTCGGTGGGTTGGACAAAACACGGAGCAGGACAGAAACTCTTGATGCTGTCTGTGCCTGTCATTTGCTGATCCAGATTACATATTTACTGTTACACGTGTTAGGGATTTTTTTAAATTTGTTTTATTTCCAGACAGGAGTCAAGATTCTTACTGAGGCACAGCATAACCACAGTTCCCTGTTAGAGAAAGGCAAAGTCCCTCTTGCTGCCATAGCTCTGGGACCAAATGCTCCTCGCCGTTCAGATTGTTCAGCTCCCAGGTGTGGGTCACCTTCCACTGGCAGAAGAGCGGCTGCAGTGGTGTGTGCTTCTGGCCAGTCCCCTTCCCCATACGAGTGGACCAGCTGGAGCAGTTCTGCTGGTGGCAGATTTCTACAGCTCGAAGACTGCCCGTACACCAAGTAGGAGTCAAGGTCTTGGCCCACAGTCAGCATTTAAACTTTGAGATGGTGCGAACGCTGCCTGCGGTGCAGAGGGAAAAGCAGGAGCTGGGTGTTTGGGGCCGGGCTGGGAGCACGCGGAGGTTCAACAGTCCTTAACTTTGGCTGGTCTGAACACAGTCTTTGTGACTAACTTTCTGCGGAGGTGTGTGGGCAGCGAGATGCGCTGGTGAAGTTCTACTGAAGGGCAATGTGTTGCTATTTTTGCAAGGTCTTGTCAGACTGTTCCTTGGCGTGGAAGCCAGGTTACTCCCCTGCTGTCTGCAGACGGGTCCTGCGAGGGCTTCTCCTAAGTTTTTTAAACATTTCTTTCCCGTAAAGGGTGACTGTTTTTGTTTTATTTCTTCTCAAATTATATGCCTACTAGCCTCCCTTTCCCACAATAAGGTTTGTGTGCTGCAATGCAGCTGTTTTGGGGATGGATTTGGCAGCTGCTTAACCACCTACAGAAACAGTTTTTCGTCTGAACTTCCTCCCCTGCTCTGTCCACTTCAGGAGGAAGTCTTTGAGGCAAAATGTTATTGCCAAAGGTTGGGGTGTTTCTTGGATGAATGCTCCTAGTGACCAGTAGCCTCTGGCCCAAGATTTTTCAAACAGCACCCTACCTGAGTGCTGAAGTATCCTTTATTTTTATTTTTTCTAACGTAAAATGTTGGGAATTTTCACACCCGGAGGCTGCTGTGATGCTAAGTGCTTTCGATAATTGAGCCATTTGTTTAAGTGCCTAAAGAGTACTTCCACACTAAACGTCAGGTGTACGGGTTTGATGATAAAAGCCTTAAATGCTTCACTGTAGACATCCAAGTGATCCTTGAAAAAGCAGTGGGCTGGGGGGGCGAGACAGCCTTGTTTTATAATGCCCTTTGGTTTGGAACATGGAAGAGCAAGATGCTGCAGTTCTTGATCCGTAATTTGTGTCCGTCCCTCAAGAGGAGAAGGCTTAAGCCTTGCAGGTTCCCTGACCGACCTGCCCTCCATCCGCTGGGGTGGCTTTGGTTGGTGGACACGAGCAGGTTTGGGCTCACAGCACGTGCCGCAGGCTCTGTGTCTTGGCTGAGCTGGAGGGTTTGGGATTAGTCAGCGCAGGTCAAGTCACAGAGCTGTCCTTCGCTGTCGGATCAAGCATGCCTTTGGCCTCCCTGTTCTCCCATCCCCTTCCTTACGCTGGGTCATGGACTCGGCACCCGGATCTCCTCGGCAAGTCTGGTGTCTGCATCCAGAGCGCTGGCTCTGAGCTAACTGGTCCTGGGAGAGGGCAGGCTGGGTTTGTTCGGTTTTCTCATAATTCAGATACGCTTCCGGGGAGGTGCCTGCATTTACTTCATTTCTGTTCAGAAAAGGGACGGCCGAGCAACTGAACTTGTGACTCCGCAGCCAGCTGCTCTCGCTCTCCGCTGCTGCATCCCAGACGGGCGCCCGTCCTCTGGCTTTGGCCTGACCTGTGCCTGGATTGGTAACAGAGCTTATTCTCCGTTCCAGCTGGAGAGACGTGATCCAGTCTGAGCCGGGGGCTCCTTATCCACTTGTCCTCTGGCTGCGCCGCTCTTGTTTTAGCCAGTTCAGCAAGAAGAGCTACTTGATGATCCACCGAGAGACTCTCTTGATTTCTCCCCTCCCCCTGGCACCCTTCCTCCCGTTTCTCCATCTGGAGCGAAACCCAGCGAATTCAGTAATTGCTCCTTTCCTTCTTACCCTCCTATTACAGCAGGAGAAGGCTGCCGGGCCCTCCGCCAGCTGCTGACATCGTGGGCAGATGGGTACGGGAAGGAGCGTCTGCCAAGACCCAGCTCTGTCTTCACTAACCCTGTCCCCCCTGGGAGTTCAAGCCCAAACAGATTTGGGCCGTTCGCCCTGAGAGAGGGGCTGTTGGCAGTGGGAGAGGAGGGGTGTAGGAAACTGCCACCTCCTGTCAGGTCCTGGGTGGGCGGTCGGGGGACAGCCACAAGGGGAGCAGCTTTCTGCAAAGAGTGGAGAGGGAAGACAAGGCAGCAGTCTCGGAGGGGAATGAGGAGAAATCGGGGCGAGGGAGCAGGAGGAAGAGGGGTTTCAGGGGAAATCCGGGGTTTATAGCAGTGTGAGGGACTGGTGTGAGACACTGGAACTGGGCTGGCTCTGCCCTGGCCGTGGGTGGGAGTGTGCCCCTCCGTGTGGCCTTGCCCCTGTCCATAACGCACTTCGCAACCCTCTGTGGTGGCAATCTCCCGCCAGCGTGGTCCCGGCCACGGCGCAGAGCTGGCGGTGACGTCTGAGCGCGCGTCCCGAGCTGGGCTGTCGGCGGCTGCCGTCCCCAAACCCGTAAGGGACATTGCGTTTGCTGTCGCTGCAATGGCCCTGTGCATGTGCTCTGTTACCAAAAGCCTTTCTTTCTAGTTCAGGCTGTCACTGGGGCTGACAGGAGAGGCATTTTCCAGAGCTGCTGGTGAGAAGCTCCTTTTCTTTGTAAGCTTGTCCTCTCTGGCTAACCCGGCATGTTCTGCCAAGAACAGCTTCTCTGGGTGTCCCGTGTAGACCGGCAAGGGACGAGGTGTGTTCTAGTGCAGGTCAGCGCATCCCTTACGTGCTGTTACTGACATAACCTGTGTGAACAGAGAAACCTCTTTAGGACTTGATTATACTGTACGACTTGCGGCTGTCGGTACAGCTCCTCGGAGGGGTTTACCGGCAGCTTTCCTGTGTGAGGTAGTGGGTGCACTTCTGCTTTCTTCTCGTGGGTGAACGACGCTGCGCCTCGCCTTTCCTCCCGTGAGACGGGGGTGTTGAGGTGGGGAGAAGGGGCGAATGTCTTTTTTATGCGAGACTGGCGAATCTCTAGGTTGGGGAAGGATGTGTGGATGCTGGGTTTTTTTTCTTTGGAGATCATATGCTGTCTGAGAGACGTTCGTGGTTTATTTATTCAGTAGAGTAAATATTTTGTATACGATGTAAGAGGAAGGCTATTATAAATTTTTATGGAAAGGAGGAAATAAAAGGTGTTTAAATCGGGACAAGAGTGTGTGTCGCTGACGGGGGGCGCCGCTGGGGGGCGC